TATGTTCCGAGAAAGAACGTATATATCATTTGAGTAGAGAACAAAATACAAAATGATCACAAGACTATCTCTTGCTCATGAGTCTTTTCTGCTGTTGATACGAGTATATAAATGCTGCGGATTTGCTCAGTTATGCTCAGAAAAAAAATTGTCTTTATTATAAAATTGTGTTTTCAAAGCAATATTCACAAGTATTTATTATAATACAAACTTTCGGTTATGAAGCCGGTAAATAAATATTTGAGATTATCTGCTTCATTGTTATTGATATATTTATATATTTTGAATAGTCAAGTTTTGCCTGTTTCTCTGACATTGATGGTGTCATTACAAAAGGTCCAAATTTTATTGCAGCTGCTAAACCAGCTATTCAAGCATTGATTCAACTTATTGTGCCTGTTATATTTGTTTCAAATACATGTATGCTTGAATCAGATAAAGCTAAACAACTTTCAGCTGCACTTAGAGTTACTGTGAGTTTCTTTTTTCTAATTCATTCGATCTTTTAAATAAGACGTATATTTTAATATAGATTCGGGACCCGGAAAGATGCGCACGGAAACTTGCGCACGAAGACACTTGCGCATGGAAAGAAGCGCACGGATGCCTTCAGCACGAAATATCAGTCTATTAATTGTGCATTAACAATGATTAGAAAGGCGAAGAAAAGAAAAAAACTATCTCGCTTTGTTGAATTCAAGCTCAATACACTCATTCTTGAGATAAATTAAAAATAGAACATTATCTAATTCAAAAATTTTAAAATTGTAACTAATAGACGTTTAAGCCTTTTCATACTTTAATCCAATCCAGCTAAGCTGATTTTTGAAAAAAATATCCCAAATAAAAGGACACGCATGAACAGGAAAAATCAGAACAACTTATTTTTTATATTATTCAAACATGTCTACTTCTATCGAATTCACTACTTCTGCAAAAGGTCGACCTTTGATGGTATTAGATGGCTATTCGTACATTCAAGATCGTCAAACTGACGAAAAGACTTACTGACGTTGTGAAAATCACAACAAATTTAATTGTCATTATCGAATACATACATGTAATTTTACGACTAATACAACACATGCGAACATTTTAAAACGTAACGGTGTTCATACAACACGTTGTCATCGAGATCCAATGAAAATATCACTTCGAAAATTCCATGAAGATCTTGCTGATCGTGCAAAAAATACACAAGAAGCAACCGACAGTGTATTATCAAAATGTTTAACTCAGCTATCTACTCCAGCACGTTTACGTTTACCACCTTTAGATCATGTCAAACGTACAATCCGTCATCATCGAAAAGAAAATAATTTACCAAATATACCTAATGACGTCGATTTTCCATCGGTTCCAACAACTTTACAATTTACAAAAAGAAATGAAATCTTTTTAAGAATCGACACTGGAGCCGGTGAGTAATATGCAACTCATAAATAAATGAAGAAAACTCGGACGGAACTTTAATTGTTGACTTATTTTTGATATTTCTACTTAGTTTCGGATCGAATGCTTATCTTCAGCAGTCTTGAGCAAAGCTCAATGTTCGCATTATCAACTGAGTTCTTGATTGATGGAACTTTTGATGTAAGTTAAGTAAACGTTTAAAATGACTAATACTATACAAATAACATTTTTTTTATTACTTAAGATCGTTCCAGAGATTTTTTATCAGTTGTATGTTAGTCATGCTGTACATTGTGAATATGTTATTCCGGCAGCATTTTGTTTACTTCGTCGAAAAAATGAAATTACCTATCAAGATATGCTTAATAAAATTATGGAATTTGCACCAACATGGAATCCTGAAAATTTATTGATGGATTTCGAAAAAGCGCTATCAATGCATTTTCGACAATTTTTCCACAAGCATCTCTCTCTGGTTGTTATTTTCATTTACGCCAGAGTATACATCGGCAGCTACAGGTACGATTACTACTATACATTTTGACAGTGAAACCCCTACAAGAACGATTTGATTGTACAAGATAACTTTTATTCTAGACCCAAGGGCTACAAAAGAAATATGAAGATTATTCTAATTTTGCTAATGGAATACATAAAATTGCTGCACTAGCATTTATTAATCCAAAAGATGTTGTTAAAGCATTTGTCGAACTCAGTCTTCATCTCGACGATCAATTTCAATCTATGTTGGATTATTTCGAAGACAATTACATTGGTCGGTTTCCTGCTAATGGTTCACGTGCACGTCCACTATTTGGAATTAAATACTGGAATGTTTATGATCGAACGAAAAATTCACAAATGAGAACCAATAACTCAGCAGAAGCGTGGAATAGACGGATCAGCAAGTATATGATAACAGATAAAACAAGTACCTAACTAAGTGTTCATAGATTCTTTTTAGAATGTATTTTTCAATGTTCACATCCTACTTTATAGAAATTCATCGACAAATTAATTTTTGAAGAAGACTCACATATTCATACGAAGATCGGCAGAGTTAATGCCGGTGAACCGGTTTCAAAGAAGAAAAAATATCAACATCTGAATAAACGTTTACTCAATCTTGTCTTGAATCCTCATCGTCATATTGTTGATCAATTAAGTGCGCTAGCACATAATATAAACTTATATTAAATATCTTCATTAGAAATAGAAACACTAAATAGTGACATTGTATTTGTACAGTAGTGAACATTAGCTCTTTTTCTTCTACTGTACTTCTAATTATTAATATTACAATTAATCACTTCAAAAATAAATTATTTCTGCTAATTTGTTTAATTGACTTTTATTGATATGAAAACGAGAAATCTATATTACGTGCGCAACTTTCCTCGTGCGCTTCTTTTCTAGACTCAATATAAATGTTGCTAATAATGTAACTAACAATAAGCCTGTTGACATTGTTACATTTGAACAACCTAAAAGTACAACTTAATTGATATAAAAAATGAGACTTTACTGACCATCATTCAGATAACAACGATGATATCGACATGGTTCACTATTTCTTGTAGGACGTTGTTCATTATTTCTTGTATAATATGGTTCACTATCTGTTGCATAACATGTTTGAGGCCATGTTGTTTGACGTGGTTTAGTATCTCTTGTTTTAAGTAAGCCAGTGTCACTTTCATCGCTTGTCTAAAACAAACAAAAAAGAAACAAGTACTTTATGATACTAATCCAATATTATACGTTCATCTGTTACAATACATAATCCCTAGTAACGATAAATTTAAAGCAAAATTCTTTTGTATCCAAAGTCAAATGCTATTATATGTTCTCGTACAGCACACCTTCCGTTTGCTGTCATTTGTAATATATGTTACTATAATTTTCTCTGTACATTGCAAGGGTTACGACCATTTGCCCGCAAAACATTTGCTCGTGCAACACGTGCCTGCAATGGATGGGTGTGGGTGTGCTCTTCTCTATCTTAATCCCCATACCCACACCCACACCCATACCCTCTTTGTACGCGTATTCAATAAGTTAATTTGACGTTGTTTCACATTTATTGTTAATTCTAAAATATCGTCATCATTAACTTTTTGTTCATCGAACAGAACTTTGTTGTAGGGTATGGGTGTTCTCTTTATTTATACCCACACCCACACCCCACACCCAGAGATATCTACACATTTTTTGTTCAGAATCAGATTCTCTATCGAATGGTATATAAATCAACTGTCAAAGCATTTGTATATACTGTATAAAATGAATGATTGTTTCACCGTTAGATGGTTCTATAGGACATATATGGCTGAGTATCAAAGTATAGGAAAATTTCGACCGATGAGGCTGATATTTAGAAGAGTGACTACTAACTATGAGTTCTACAATTGCTGAAAGTTTCATATGAAACTGCAGATGATTTTTAATTGGGCCGAAATCAACGCAAATCGTTTCTGGTCCTTTATTTTTATTTATTTCAAATAAAAATATTACAAATATGTTTTGATTATAGTTTGTTGACATGGTTTTCTAATAATACGAATTATTTTTCGATTTTTCAATTGAAAATTGTCAAAAACATCTTCAATATCTTCAAGTAAGATTCCTTTTGTTTCTGGACAAAAAAGATAAACAAAAATGACAGCCATAAATGTTAAAAAACTAAATAAATAAAAAACACCATGTATACCTAATGGTGCTATTAATTCCAATATATATGCCATAATAATACCCATAAACCAATTACTACCTGTTGTTAATGACATCGCTCTAGCACGTATATTAAGTGGATAAATTTCGGCTGCATAAATCCATGCGATAGGTCCCCATGAGAGTGCAAAAAAAGCGACAAATATAGCAGTAAAAATTAACATAATTATACCAGAACTTGTTTTACATTTAACAATATCATGATTTATCATTGTATTATTAATTGTTTCATGAATAACATCACATCCAGTATAAAATACGGTTGCTGCAAAAAGATGACCAATAAACATTGCTAATCCTGAATAAATAAGTAGATTTCGACGTCCTAATCTATCGAATAAAAATAATGCAGGTATTGTACTGAATAAATTGACACCAGATAATATTAATAATGATATAATACCTGTACCAAGAATATTTTCATAAATCATACCACCAAATGTAAATATTGGATTAATACCAGTTGCTTGTTGAAATAAATGCATACTCATACCAATAATAATACGTTTAAGTAATTGTTTTTGATGAAATATTTCTTTAATTGATATTTGATTACTTTCTTCTTGTAAAGCATCTGATATTGCATTTAATTCATTATCAACATTATTTATTCGACGAATTCTTTTTAAACTTATTTTTGCTTCTCTTCGATTTTGATTTTTATATAACCAACGCGGTGATTCTGGACAAAAATAAATGCCAAATATGATTATTAATGGTGCAATTAATATAACACCATTTGATAATCTCCAACCCCATGTATGATTTTCTAATAGAAAATTGACAATATTAGCAACAAATAAACCAACTACAACAGTCATTTGCATAAAACCAGACAACATTCCACGTAAATTTGTTGGTGCTATTTCTGATGCATATAATGGACATGAAAATGATGAACAACCAACACCTGTACCTTCAATAATACGTCCAATAAGTATAAAAATCATAACTCCTTTTGAACGACCTGGTGACAATATGACCATCAATGTTCCAATTAAAAATAAAACAGCAGATGTAAAAATAATTGCTCGTCGACCATATTTTTCTGCTATTAATGATGAAATAAATAGAGCACCAATAAAACATCCAACATTATATAATAATGTAAATAAAACTAAAAATCTTCTATAATCCGACGGTAATAAACTAATTGGAAGATCACATGTACTTGAATTAGCAAATACATCAACACAAAAATCATTTTTAAATGAACTCATAACTTCAATATCAATCAT